CGCACGCGTCGGGACTGGGGACGCGCCCCGTTTATTTCTGCAGCGCTCGAGCAAAGGAGCCGGGTACAGAGCTTGGAGACACAGCGGTGACCCCGAGCCCCATCCCGCTCCCCAGCTCCGCGTCCGCTCCTCCCCGCGGCGGGATTCGGGACTTCCCGGCTCTCCCGAGATGCAGCCTCAAAAATCCCTTGTTTAAGGTGCCGCCGTGCAGCTCCCGCGGCCCCGGAGCAGGCAAGCGTGGGATGTTGGAGCTTGCCCGCTCCCGGAGAGGTTGGGATGTGCTATGGAAGGAGCTGGCTGCTTCCCCCGCTGCCATCGCCACCAAACGCCCCTTTCTGCCCCGGGCTGTATTTTTTATGATGCCCTCTCCCGAGGCAGCGCCCCAGCTGCTGCCAGGATGCTCCAGCCCTGTCTCGCAGCCAAGGGCAAACAAGGTCCAGCCTCTGCTTCTCATCTGCGCCCTGGTCCCCGCACAGGCCCCGGTGACTCCTCCGGGCAGGATCCACCCTGCGTCAAGGCAGAGAGTTCGGCAACACTCGGGCTCCTGCTGCCAAAGCGTAAACAAGGGTCACGCCACTCCTCTGCCTTGTACAGATGGTCCAAGGGCAAAGCCGGGCTGGGAAGGGACTGAGCTGACTGAACATCCTCGTGTGAACCCCTCCTTCCTTCCTCGCCAGGCAGTGCGTGCCCTGGACTCCAGCCACAGACCTCGGGGACAGTTCATGCTACTGGCACCAGCCCTACAGAGTCCCCTGAGCTAACTGGTTGTCTTCGCTGTGGACACGGCTCTGCTCGGGCGGCAGGACCGTCTCAATTTGAAATGACACAAACTGGCCCTTCTTCAGCTTCTTCAGGGAAGTGGCAGCGTTGCTCCCAAACATGGTGTCCTCCACTTTGAAGGGAAGAGTGGGCAGGGCCCGGCTTTTCCTTTTCACGCTCTTTCGCTCCTGCTTGAAAGCTGCGGTCATGTTGGCAATCACCTGTAAAGCAGATTGCTCGGGTTGGGCCTGGAGATGCTGCTTAGAAAGGAGTTGGCCCCTGTCCCATGCGAGCTCAGCTACCGAGAGCCCCACGGCTCTGTCGCCGTGGGGCAGCCGAGCCCGGCAGACGTTGTGCAACCAGCCAGGAGAGCCGCTGCCAGCTCGGGCACAGGAGGGACTAGACAAGGTCCGTCCTTGTCCCATTCTCACCAGGAGCACGTGAGACCTTACACAGCAAGAGATCTCACGTAAGGAAACCACGAGACGAGTGCTCAGGAGACCTGTTCGCTCTCCATCGGTAGAGGGCAGAAGGGGATCTTGGCTGGAGTTACGCTGGGCAGAGGGAAGCTTTTAATTTCTCTTGTTAATTATAGCTCCTGCTATGGCCATGGACCACCAGCAGGTGAGGGATGGATGCCAGAGAAGAAGGGACAGGATGGGATGCTTTGGCACTGCCCCATGCACTTCTTGCTGCCCAATGCCACCCTGTGTATCTCCTTTTCGTGAAAGGGGAATCTCAGGGAGTGAGCTTGAGCTGCCAAGAGAAGCTGGGAATAGATCCCACGTGTTCAGCTTCCACCTGCCCACCTGCCTTTCCTACAAAAGTCCAGGTGAGCTCAGAGAGGACCTTGAATCAAAGAAGTGACGGAGCAAACAAAGGCACTTGAGCCTTGTCTAGCACTTTTTGGCATGCAGCTCTCCCAGCATTTTATAAGGGACATCAAGGTCATTTTTCAAGTCAGGAAATCAAGATACAGAGAGACAAAATAATGTGCCCAAGGTCACCCAGCACAGCAAAGGCACAGCCAGGAAGTGGATGCTGCTTTCTGAACCCAGCACTGTACCACAAGGCTGCTGGTCTTCCTTGTAACTCCAACGTGCCCAGCTCCTCTCCTCCCATCCTGGAGTAGGGTTATGTTTAACAGTTCTTATTACAGGGTAGGTTCCAAATTTTTTTTTTTTTTTTCTCCCTGCCTATGAAAGGACTGATCTGAGCTGCAGATTACAAGGGAAAATCCTGGGCAGGCTGAGACACAGCTCTCATTAGCCTTGGCGAGGGCAGCTAATGCCCGGAATTTCCTCACCCAGTCCTGAGCTGCAGCACCCCCAGCTTCCCGAGGGAACCTTGTGGTGCCTGCTCAGTGCTGGGGAGGGC